TTTTGTGCAGCCTAAAGACTCTGCAACAGACATTTACAGAATTTAAACCTTGCCTGGCATACCGTCTTGTCACTAAATCTAATCGTCCTGAGCAGCTAAGGTGACGAAAGCTTCCTCCAAAAATTATCCCTGATAGCATCTGTATTCCGATTGTACCCTATACGAGCGAGAACCAACTGAGATAAAGAAATAGCGGTTACTAAGGTTCACTTCATAGTTGAGAAGGCTCCAAATCTGTAGCCAATACTATCACGGTCCTCAGTGAATCGCAGTGGATATACTTTTTGACAATATTCGCAGCCGTAATTCTGCTTCCTTAACCAATCGATAGCTATGAAAAAAGATCATAATGTTATTACAGTTGAGATTTGTGTGAAGGTCTGACGATGCATTCTTCGATGAGGAAATCTTACAATAAAATCAGTTGGCGGCGCGTGAGATTAGACTTACCATTCATTTTCGATTTAGCGGAGCCATTCACCAAATAATCAATGATCAGATGTCGGTCAGACTCTGCGATTGCATCGCGCGATGCAGTCGCTCTGCCTAGAGCGATTGGCATCGCTCCAAAGTGCGAGCGACGGGAGATTTACCCGAGCGGCGCCGTGTGTATCGGTCGTCGGCGGGGTAAATCTCCCGTCGCTCGCACTTTGGAGCGATGCCAATCGCTCTAGGCAGAGCGACTGCATCGCGCGATGCAATCGCAGAGTCTGACCGACATCTCATGAACCATGAAACCATAGAATTCAATACAGAAGCCAATGGTGGATCTTCTGGCCCTGTGCTCTACTCACCCCACTCATTGTTCAGTGAATGTATTTGCTATACATAATTAATCTTGTCACCGTATTTACGCCTCACCTTGTATATCGTTGATTTTCCTCACATTTTCGTGAGCTTTCGGTATTTTAACGCAATGGTGATTTATCCACCTTAAAGCATCAACCCGCGCTGTAAAGTACTGCATCTGCGACTACACTTGTGTTATTAATAATACACTGCTGACTAAACATGATATGATTATGGTATGATTTTCGTGACTTTATTTCTTTTCGGAAACAGATCTCCGAGTGGGTGAAATTCCTGTGTTGTTTCTAGTGATCACCACTGATAAATTTACGTTGAAGAAGAATGTAAGAATTTTTTGGGAAGAGTTCCACTGAGTGCCTCAAGATGCCAAAAGGGTTTTCAAACTCATGGAAAACTAGCAATACTGTTGCAACCCTTTTGTAGCGAGTCTTTTGCAAAAAAATGTTCAGACCCATATTTTTGCCGCACCTTCACATCGGCATGTGACACTGAGATACTGCAGCTTTCTGGATTTAGTGTTGTATGTTTCGAGCCACAAAAATGAACATATTGGCTATAAGGAATTGATATGAGCTGAACTCACCAAAAAGATCATTGATAGATATCAAAAATAACACATTCCATTGCTTAGAGAAGCACTGACATTTTCGGCTCTTTTCTAGCTCTGTACTTTTCCACGCTTTTTCAAAAATTCTGATAGGAAATTCATTTTCAGCAAACACAATTTGTAACGAACGTAATGAAGAGCATGAATGGAGTTGAGTCAGTGGGAATTTCTGTCATCGATTGCCCTTCAGATATTCTACTTCCAAAAGATCATTACCAAGTGGAGGAGATAAGGTTGTTGTTTGAAAATGACTGTTTTATCGTTGAACTGTTAAAAATAGATCAAAATACCGTATTTATGCAAAATAGCTAAAAACCGTAGGTACAGGGTGAGTTACGAGTTGCAAATTCTGGGAAGGTTGCCAGTCCTTGTGAATACAGCGATTCACTAGTAGTGACAGTGGAGCCGCTAGCAGCGATTCGCTACTAGCGACTCGCCGGCTTTGCAAAGTATAACACCAGCCAAGGGATGAGAGCCTTATCAGGCTTTTCTGTAAAGATGGGACATCATTTAAGTGATCGCTCGCGAAGATCGGTTTTAAGAATTCTCAAATTCACAATAAGTTCTGAAGAAGTTCAAAAGCTCTAATCATTCCACATTTGTTAGTTAAGTGTTTGGGGAGGCATATGGTACGAAGTTCAAGTGTGCGCCTACAATTTATCGGGTGTGCCGCGGCCAATTCTCTACACAGCAGATGAGAGCCAAGCAGTTCTCAACTCTGAGGGACATCGGGGACAGCTCGGCAGGACTGGATGCCTTGATTGATACGAAATCGACGCTGAGTTATGTGACAGCCACTTTGCGGCTATCGGACGATGAATATCTGGTCATTACCAGCCTGATTTGAGCCTTCCATTCTTGTTTTTTGGAGTTCCTTCTTGCTTCAAGAAACTTCACAAGTTGGACTTCTCCAAAACTCCAAGAGGCATGTAAGGGACTCAGGGTCAATTGCTTTCCGTTCATGGTGCTATCGCTTAGCGAGAGATTCATCCCGGGGTATAGCGGCTAAAAGACACATTTTATGCATTTTCTTAACTACTGTGTTGTTGTGTTCTATAGAAAAGCTCACAGAGAATGAATTCCCTTTACTAAAATGAGGTGAGTAATCCAACATTTGATAGCCACCCTGTAGGTGGTGGGTGATATAAAGTGATAGCAACTGATAATGGCAAATAAGTAGCAATGGAACGTGACTGTGCCTTTCTTGGACATTCATCGTAATAGTGGAAGTTAACTTCCCTTAGGTAGGATAGGGGAATGTAGACACTGACACTGCGTCGTACAAACTGGTAGCAACCGATAATGATGCGTAAGTAGCATCTGAATGCTACATTTCCAAGCTCTTACGGCTCGCTAAAATGATGCTGCGCGCTCTTCCGAATTATCAAGGTGACAGGATGCTGAGATGAGTTATGCAAGTGATAATGATTGATAAGGACAGAAGTCAGCGAAAATTCAGTACGACTAAATGACTACACCGACACAACCAGCTATGCTTAATTACTGAGCGGTCACTGGATGTATACGTTTCATTCCTAATTCAACTTCGATGAGAGCAGAATCTATTTCGCCCGAAACCACCTGAACTCCGACCAATGGTGAATGAAGTGTAAGAGATTGGAGCAAGCACGGTGAGATGGATTCGTTCCATTCGCAATATCAACTTGGATAAAAACCTATTTGACCATAAACTGTCTGACTCGAGACCAGAGCCGTATTATCAATCACTGTTGATAGGTGGTAGAAAATTTTCTTAGCTGCTAGGGTGTTTCACATAAAATGCTAGAAAACTGACATTTTCGGGACACTCACACTCCACATATACATCGACCGTCATTGCACAGGATCTGCATTGAACCACGTACCATTCAAACTAGTGCCTATCGCGCGGCAGCGCGCGCCAAAATGGCAAGGCTCACAATTTCAAGACGATGAAACCAGGCGGCCAGGGGGCCGTATGCTATGCTCCCCCAACAGGGGAGGGGTCCCCGTCCCGGTATGCTATGCTCCCCCCGACAGTTCTCGGGGAGAGGCCACGCCCACCGATAGCCGGGGATATCTCCCCTATCGCCTGCCGATCGGGGCAAGCCGGGGATACCGTAATTTCGTAGCCGCCGTACGCATAATTGTCTGTCGCGCGCACAATTCTTCTATGGGTTGCGTACTGCAGTTCTAAGAATTGCTCATTTGTGAGTATATCACTGCAAATAGTATGTGCAGAATAAGGTTTAGAGTCGGACACCCTTGATCAATCCCCACCATACTTATTTCAAATGATTTGGTCACGTTCGATACCATGTTTGTTATTTATAGCATCTTAAAGATTTGGATGCTATGTTATATTTTTTACATTTTGCAGATTTTTAGGCTTCGTATTTGAGATTGTGAGCTATTACATTACGTGACACTAATTACCGTTCAATTGGATTGAGATACTGCGTGCAGGCTTAAATATGCGATAAAAGGAACAAGTACAATACAATAAATGTTCCATTGCAGCTGGCGTCCACAGTTGGGGAGATTGAAGGACTAATTTATGTACAAGCTGACTCCAATCATGAGTTAGGCCCTTCTCCTCCTCTAATACTCGTTTCAGTTTCGAGTTAGATCTCTAATTTGTTTGAACGTTTCCATTGGATTTTCTTTTGCGGAACATGTTCGTAATGCTTGTAGGAAGCAAGTAAGAATCATACCTATATTTAATACAAGGAATACTTGCTCGCTGAATGAAGCAATCAGCAGCGGGAGAAATCTTTGTTTGAGTTCATCGCAAAATCAGATTGTTAGAAGATTATCTGCTTCTATTTTGGCCACAGCAAAGTTTCAAATTCATCATGATAAATCTCTGGCTAATCTAATACACTTATATGGAATGATGTATAGAATGATCTTCTTCGGATCATTACCAACTTGGAGAGTGAAATGAGGTGGCTGATTAACTCCTTAAACATTCTCAGTAAATGAAGTAAACGATATATGTCAAATTGAGCATTATTAAAACGCTTCAGATGCTCTATGGAAGACAATGCTGATTATAGTCATAATTTAGTGGACATCAAAGCTCCTCAACTTTCATCCCTGTCACTCTTACTGTTATCCCATGACCCTGTCACCCTTGTACATCGATCTCTTAACCATGTACATTAAAATATATCCGTGAAGGTGCCGTACTGTATTGGCTATACTAACTAACTTTCGAGGTAACATTGCTAATTTTCGATCCTGAGTATCCTATCCTGCATATGCACCCTAAAACTTTATAATTAGTAGCTTTCCAAGCCTAAAACTAATGTCTGGCAAGATGCCAAGTTCTTCGCGCCATGGATACTCTGCATGTCTGCATCCCCTGGGGAGCCCCGCGAGCATAGCATACGACCGCTTTCGGGGCGGCCGCAGCCGGGGAGCTCCCCCAATAGGGGGCCCCTCCCTTGTTGGGGGAGCATAGCATACGGCCCCAGAGGTCGAAGAACGTGAATACGAACATAATCATCACAAATGCTCTGTTAAAAAGGGCCAGAAGAAGTAATCAAGCGCCTTCGACATGGTTGTCGCATAGCTAACCCATCCAAAGCACATTCGCTGGATGGATTTGGGGGGGCGACCTAGCCCATGCGCCACTGAGAGGTTACTCCTTAGCCTTCAGGCCTTTACTATTACCTCTGCTTCGATTACTTCTCAGAGATTTCTGCAAGGTTCAATATTGCAGTAATCGAATGAAATCCTACGGCTATCGAGGCCACAAAACCGCAACGTACCAAGCTTTCGGTTTGGCGACGATCTTCATCCACGTGAGTATTTCTCATGAAAATAAGAAAATATCAATATTTAATGTAATTACTACAGATAGCAAGTTGGCAAAATATTAGGTCGGTTAGTGATTTTTGAGACGCTTTAGATATATTTTGCAAAAAACTTTTGATAAGTATTGAAGCTTTCCAAGACGTCCTGCAACCCAGCACACAAGCTCGCCTGTCCGATAGGCTAGCCTCGCTTGCTTGTTGCTTTCTTTAACTAGGAATCCTAATTTCTTTTCGAAACCTATTTCTGAGCCTCCTTCTTTGTGACTACCGATTAGGATCTTCCACGCGCCAAGCTATGTGTAGGATTGACCAGAAGATACTGATTCATCCTTTTCTTACGCGACGTTTGTGCGACATGTGGCTGGGCGCCAACATGGAGAACGCTTCTTTTCTGGTTAGAGGGCTTGCCCTTTACGATGCATCACGTCGGTGCTATAGAAGACATTGATACTCTATGAAGTTCACCCGGGCACAGAAAGCTGCGATGCAACGGTGTGCAACAGTACAGCAATTGAAAGAAAATTTCTCGGAAAAACTTTAATTTTGACAACTGTACAAGTTTGTATTCACATCTACTACTCTTTTTTCATTGAGAAGAAAACAAGGTATGGACCGTGCTGCCAGTTTTGTAACGCTTGAAAACCTCCGCTCTAAAGCTCCCATTAGAGAAAATGATATCTGACCATCCAGTGAGCCATGTCATGTAGGGAAGAATGTCACACAATCGCGAGGGGTGATGGCATGAGTGGGACGCGCAACCGCGTCACAATGTCCCACGTGGTCTGCAAAGTTGGGCGCGCCACCGCGCCACCCTTTCGCCCATGTTTTACCAGAAGGGTGCAATTGCTCATAAATTGAAACATTGATATCTATGATACACAATCTCGCTCGTATTCATTGATCATATACTTATTATCAATCAAATATGCTTTGATACATTCGGATATACTACATATTTGGCATAAGAAAGTTTATAAGAAAATCTTCAGGAAAAAGAAGCAAGTGGATATGTAGTGATCATCGTTTCGAATGGCAAAACTTCCGACTGCAATCAGCATTGACTTCCGAGAATGAGTTCACCATTACGGAACATGTAAGCTCGCTAATCGCAAAAAAGCTGTTCGTGCTTGTGGACCCATACCGCCTCGGATATCACTGCTTTCCGGAGTACCCTTCAGCTAGGAAATCAAAACCGGCAAGCTCTGCTAAGGAATGCGCTTCTTGCGTGATCAATGTTATGTTCGACAACCCTTGAACCCTTTTTGCGTAGATTGCCATTTTTTAGAAACCCTACAGCAATTGCCCTTTCGACATGACTAATGGAACAGGAACTTATAATAGTCAAACTATTCTTCCAAGAAGTATTCTAGAATGCATAAAACTTGCGTTGGTGACAAGAAGACTTTGTGGACAAAACAGACTGAATACTCTAAAAAAATGTGTTAATGTGCATCACATTCTTATTTGGAGGGAGCCTTTGTAAAAAAAAATCTTCAAGTGCTATGCGGTGGAGGAAGAATCGTTGTGCAGAGCAGTGTACCCCCTCTAACCGGCGGAGGCGCGTGGTCATCGCAGTCTTCACAACATAAATGACGACAGCCTCCTCAAAATGTATTAGTTTTTTGCCAACCGAATGATCAGCCGGTTGTTGTAGCTATCTGTCAATTTTCGTTAATTACAATGATCACTATCAACTATCAGCGATCACTATAAATTACTAGTCATCAGATTTACTTGAAGGCCGTCGTCACTTGTGCTTTGGAGTCCGTACTGCAGTAAATTCTTTAGCCAGTGGATACAAAGCGTATATCATTCAGTGAATGTGCAGAAATTATTCAGAAATGGCGACATTATGGTGCGAGAATCATTTACGTAGCACTGCGAGGGACACAAGGCCTCAATATGGATAATGTTGAACAAATTACTGAAGATCCTGCAAACATTGTACCAGTGGATGACGTAAAGGTGAGTATTAATAATTAATTAACGTGTAATTAAGTTGTAATTAAAGTATACGAATTTGCTGTACTGATAATTACTAAAATCATCATTTAGACATTGGCCACAACTGCTGCGGATGCCGTGTTAATGAAGTTCCCACCTCCCGCATAATTCTACTAGACGTTTTCTGATTTTTTCAGTAAATAAAATCTGAAAGAAGTGCTTTGAACAACGCAATCCAAATGTGACATCAATTCGAAAATGTAGGCCTTGTATTGTACACTTAGTATGGTTGCTATCGCAATGCAATAGTTTGCGTGAGCTGCTCGATCCAAGTTTTCTCAAGGGTCCCTTTAAGTCACGAGGAGCTAGCGAATTCATTACGTTAATCTTGAGTTTTGTAGCTACATGCGCTGGTTTGCGCTGGATGGTTTCAGAAACCATTCTAAATGCTGTCCTAGTTGGGGAAGGGGAGAGGGAAGGGGAAGTTTACACTATTTTCACACTATCACTAATTCCATATATGGATTACAATCATGGCAAACCTCGTCATTCTCTTATAATCTTAAAAATCGTTCGGCTAATCAAAAATCAAAAGAAACCAGAAAAAAAAACAAAAAAAACACTCCAGTAAGAAGACCCAAGGAAAGAGAAAACCACGAAAATTGAATACTTACCTCGTTCCATTTGACGCTATCGACGCCGCTGTGAGGATAGGACCTCTTGGACCGTGTTCAGAATGCCTATAGATAATCAAGCGATTCGATTCCCCTGCGCACACTATTACGCTGGTCATAAGAACCTAAATAACCATTGTTAAATTACAGCTGGAAAAAATACCTGCACATTATAACATTGCTATATCAGCTTGGATGGCGAATTAATCGCAAATTGGGATAAGATCCAGATAAGCAAACAACGTGTGGGACATCTAGCGCGCAGACAGCAGGCACGTTCTCGTCCCAATTTTCACCCTTGTGCCAGCTAAGTTACTTGCTATTGTATAATCGAGCAGCAAGTAACCGCTATGAGGGGGTAAAAAGTGCTATTTGCTCAAAAGCCACGATTACGATGGTTTTGGAGGGATTTACAGCGAACGGGAATACTCAAAGGTATGCCAAGGAGAAAAGGCAGAGAAATAAGTCAAGAAAACGCAAAACGGGACCCCTGGTTGTTTTTCGCTAACGGACGAGTAGCGGTTGCCCGGCAGACGTGTGGAAGAGTTTACCGCAACGCTTTGATGGCACTATGCCAATCCATGCTCCAGTCAAGTTGCACCAGCTGTACCATTGCTGGCAAGACAGCTTGCTCAAGTCACCAACTAAACCAGTGGGTGGAGAGCTCGAGGGACGGGACGATTTTCAAGTACTGCTCAGCAACCATGGCACCTTTCATAGTGAAAGCGCACATCTCGCTTTCTTGATAGCTTTATGTCCTAGTGAACTACACCTGACGCTCAAAGAATGTTCCTCCAATGAGCCCCCAAAAGTGGAGAATGTTTAAAAGACTTATCAAAATTTATCATCCTTATATCATTCAATCACAACGATATTAAAGCAACAGTTCAGGGAGGGTCCGAAAATTTCAATGCCACTACTACTGAGGGATACACGAGCCCTAGTGAAGAACATATGCAGTGGAAATAATAAACGAACTTACCTCAGAAACTCAAAAACAGGGTGGAAAGTCCCTCAAACATGGGTGTTCTTGGGGATTTCCCCAATCCCGCCCCCTTGCCGGCCGTCATTGGACGCGTCGGCAATCGTGCTCGTTTTGGGACCACAGGGAAAATTGATTGAAAAATGGAGCGCGTTTACAGCGGGCACGTTCAGACAACTCGTCCAACGTGCGTCTTTATCCATTGCTGAGCGGCAGAGGGAGAGTACCTGTCTAAGACCCTCCCCGACGTTTTTTCCAGTTTTTCATACATTAATCGTCTGGTTTTCATCTACAACTTCATTATTGGTGGTTTTTTCCCGCGAAACCGTTCCTGAACTGTTGCTTTAAGAACCAGGATTCTGAAGGAGAATACACATAGAGAGCTGGATAATGAGCACAAAAACCTTGAAGAAGGAACTTTTGGCAAAGCAAGACATGCAGCATGTAACTCTCTCAAACAATTTCATCTAGCACGAGAAGTGTAGTTCGCTAGGATAGAAAGCGATTTTTTTGCTTTTCGCAGCGGGGAACTTTTTCGCTGTGAGAACACCAAGTCCACTCCCAATCAGTGGTGAACTCGGGGTTCTCCCAGCGAAAAAAAGTTTCGTTTTGCGGAAACTTAAAAACGCATAAAATACAACAAAATCAAAAAATGGCGTGAAGTCAGCAGCTCAAAAGTGTTAGAGCACTTTACATTGGGCTACACTCTAGAATCCCGGTGAAACTCGGGTTCGAGGAGGCCACGCGATGGCGCGGCACTGTTTCCTCCATTGTAAACGTTAAGAACTAAGCCTGAAAAGAGGAGAGATGCCTCTGATTTTTTCCGCATCTCCGTTTTTCCCGGGAGACTTCCCCCTTTCCTGGGCTCACACCTAGCTGCTCACTAGGTGAATATTACTTGCAATAGGCATTAATGTTATCCAGCAAAAGAACAAATTCATAATGCAAACAAACTAAAGAAATGAGGTAGGAATGAAGCCGGTTGCAGGTTCGTAACTTTAAAGGACTCCTTGAGCCAAACTGACATTAGAGCAGATGAGACCCAGACCCCTTTGTTAACATAGCTAAGATACTCATCGCGGTTTTAATTGCTTTTTTCGGGATACCCCTATAGCCTGAGCGGCTTCAAACTTGTTGGGTGAGACACATATATTCTGCGGTTGAAAAACAGTTCACATTGCTAGCACGTTACGACATGTTTTCACACTGTCTACCCTATTTTCATTTCAGTGCCTATAGAGCGTTCAGAGTTGGCGATAGTATCCGCGATAGGCGATTAGGCGATTAGTCTAAATGAAAAATATACGTATAGATTAGGCGATTAGGCGAGTAGGCGAGTAGGCGATCAGGCGAGTAGGCGATTAGGCGTAAGACTACATACGTATTGATTGGCTTGTTCCGCCTATAGTGTTTCAAGCGATTAGGCGAATAGACGACCGCTCAATGGGCGGATCAATGTGTCCTTCTCCTATCGCGTAATCGTCTAATCGCCTAATCGATACGTATACCTTCTTTCTGAACCATCGACCCAGCGATTAATCGCGCGTACGATCGCCAACTATGAACGCCCCATTAGAGAATGACTCTTACTTAATTTTTACGATTACATGTTGTAAAATGCATTGCTGTCCTTTCTTTAATTTTCATGCTCATTTTGAGGCTAAGCCTGGGGAGGAGGCGATGAGTAAGCGATGCTCTCGTGATAGTTGAATTCAGATTTCAACATGGTCCGCCACGGTGGAACGGATAGAAGGCATGTTGCTGGAACTGTTCGTACTGTTGTAAAGAACGGTGCAAGGATGTGGTCCCCCAAGTGATGGGAACCTACGGACTACCCCTCTTGTTATACGACAGGACACAGAAAAATAAAGGATTTATCCTACTATATATAATC